GACCAGCCCCAGCCGCAGCCGCCGTCCCAGCAGCACCCGCCGCAGCCGTGGGCTCGTCTCCCGCCTGGTTGGCCCGGCACCTCCGGAGGCGGTGGCCGTGGTGGCGGCCCGCGCAGCTTGGCGTCTACCAGCGGCTCCAGTGCTGTGACCTGCCAGTACCAGCTTCAGACCGGGCCTCTCCGCGGCACTCTGTGCCGCCGCCCGCACCCGACCGCCCACTGTTTCCGCCGCCTCGACGATCTTTTTCGTCGTCGCTTTGGCCCGGCCCCGGACCTCCCTGACTGGCACAGCCTGCTCCGCCAGGGCGTGCCGATCTTTGAGTTAGACATGGATCAGATAGGTGCTGCTTTGCATGCTTTGTATGCTGACGCTTCTAGTGTTGATGGATCTTACTACCATGTGTACTCTAGTTTAGGTGTTTCACCCTTGTGTAGCTTAGCTTCCCCTGCTGCGACAGGCGTAGGACTGCCTAGGTTGCCTAGTCTAGTCGCTGCACCGGCTCCGTCCGCGGCCTCCGCCACTGCGTCGCTGTCCTTCACTCTCGACTCTGGTGCTTCTGCCTGCTTCTTCCGCGACCGTTCCACGCTCACGCCGCTTGCTGCACCTGCTGTTGTCTCTCTCGCTGACCCCTCTGCGGGTCCGGTCGTCGCGCGCAGTTCTACGTCCCTTCCCTGTCCGGCAGTTCCCTCGGGCTCCCTTACTGGCCTCCACGTTCCCTCGTTCTCCAGGAACCTGGTTGGTGTCGGCTGTCTCCAGGACCTCGGCGTCACCACCACGTTCCCCGGGCACGAGCGGTTCGCTGTCTGTTCTGAGGCTGTCTCAGGTTCCCCCCTTGCGACGTTCCCCCGGGACCCGGTGTCCGGTCTGTTTACCCTACACACCGCTTCCCCCCCGGTTGGTGCGTCCTCCCAGGTCGCTGCAGCTTGCTCGTGTCGGTCACTCACTCACCCCTCCCTTCTCTGGCACCACCGCTTAGGTCACCCTGCTCTCCCGCGTCTGCGTCACATGTCCCAGCACGGTCTTGTCTTAGGTCTCCCCGCGTCGCTCCCTGCCCTTCCTCCCTCGACTGCGCCACCGTGCACGCCTTGCGTCGAGGGTCGGCTCCGCCGTGCTCCTCACTCCTCCTCGCTGCGTCCTGCTACTGCCCCCCTTCAGACCCTGCACTTGGACGTTTGGGGCCCTGCCCCCGTCCCCGGACCGCGCGGTGAGCGCTACTTCCTTGTGCTCGTTGACGACTACACGCGCTACACCACGGTGTTTCCCCTGGAGCGGAAGGCCGACGTGCCCGACGTTCTTCTCCCGTGGGTTGTAGCTGCGCGTCTCCACCGCGGTCTCCCCGTGTTGTGTCTCCACTCCGACCGTGGCGGCGAGTTCGCCTCTGGTCGGCTTGGACAGTTCTGTCGTGCGGAGGGCATCACCCAGTCGTACACGTTGCCGGACTCGCCACAGCAGAATGGGGTTGCTGAGCGCCGCATCGGCTTGGTCATGGAGGTCGCCCGTACCTCCATGATCCATGCCGATGCCCCCCATTTTCTGTGGCCGTTCGCTGTTCGCTACGCGGCTCACCAGCTTAACCTGTGGCCACGCTCCCAGCGGCCGCAGGTTTCGCCGACCCTCCTTTGGACCGGGTCCCCCGGTGACGCGTCTGCGTTCCACGTCTGGGGCTGCCTTGCTCACGTTCGTGCCTCTGGCACGGACAAGCTCACTGCCCGCACTGTCCCCTGTGTCTTCCTCGGTTTCCCACTGGACTCGTCTGACTGGCTGTTCTACAACCCCCCGTCTCACCGCTTCCTCCACTCTCGTGACGTCACCTTTGACGAGTCCGTCTCCTTCTACCGCCGCTTCCCTCACCGAGGTCTCCCAGTTGCCCCCCCCCTTTTCCTTGCTCCCTCTCCCCCGGTAGCCCTTGCCCCTCTCCCGCCTCGTCCTGCCCCGTCTGGTGTCTCCCACGTCACTCCCCTCCCGTCGGTTGTCCCCGTTGAGGAGTCTGCTGACTCTGGTGGTACCCCCGGTCCGTCCTTGCCGCGTCCCCCTTCCCCGGTGCCTCCGCCCCCACTGTCGCAGTCGCCGACCCCGCTGCCGCCGCCGTCGCCGTCGCCGCCGCAGCCGTCGTCGCTGTCGCCGCCACTGCCGCCGCTGCTCTCGGCCCCTGGGGGTGCTGGTGTGGAGGAGGGTGTTCGTCCTGCGGCTTCTGGGGGTGCCGCTGGTGTTGGAGGGGGTTCTCGCTCTTGGGGTGTTGGTTCTGGGGGTGCTGCTGTTGAGTGTTCTGCCGACGGTCGTTCTGCCTCTGCTGGTCCGAGAGTTCCGGCCCAGCCGTCGTCGCCGCCACAGCAGCCGTCGCCGCCGGTTTCCGCTCTCCGCCTGCTCGGCCTTCCCTCCCCGGACCGCGCGCCGGTGTCTCCCCCACCGCCTCCTGACCTCCCTGTCTACGGTCCTGTGTTCCCGCCGCCAGACTCGTCTCCGGCCCGTCTTCCTCCTCGTTCCCCTCCTGTGTCTCCTCCGCTGTCCCCTGACCCTACCCCTCCGTCTCACGTTTGGGCTCGCCGTCCCTCCCGTGCTCGTCCCGTCTCTCCTGTCCTGCCCACCCACCCTATGTTGCTCCGTTCCCACTCGTCTCGTCCTCCCCTCCTCCCGTCCCCTCCTCCCTCGTCCCTTGCTGTTGCACCTCCTCCGTTCTCTGACTACCTCCGTGCTGCTCGTCCCCTTTTCCCTCGGGTCCTTGCCTCTCTTGTTACCGACCCTGCTGTTCCTGTCTCGCGCCTTGACGCGCTTGTCGCTGCTGTCGCTGACTTCGCTTCTACCCGCCGCCTTGACTACGCTACCGCTCTGGTCTCTGACCCTGCCCGTCCTCTGTCCGTCGGGGGTGCTCCTGCCCTTGGCAGTGACGTCCTAGAGGACAGGCAGTACGAGCTGGCTTTCCTTTCCGAGGCTGCTCCCCATCTCTGCTCCATGCTGTTAGTCCCTGAGGGTGACCCAGACGCCTTCGATATCCCGACCCCTCGCACCTACGCTGAGGCCACCTCGGGACCTTGGGCCTCTCAGTGGATAGCTGCCATGGAGCAGGAGATGGCATCTTGGAGATCCACCGGCACTTACGTCGACGCAGTTCCCCCGCCTGGGGTGAACGTAGTCGATGGTCGGTGGCTCTTCAAGGTGAAGCGCCCCCCTGGAGAGCCGCCTGTCTTCAAGGCGCGCTACGTGGCCAGAGGTTTCAGTCAGCGCGAGGGGGTTGACTTCTTCCAGACCTTCGCCCCGACCCCGAAGATGACCACTCTTCGGGCGCTGCTACACGTAGCAGCACAGCGTGACTACGAGCTTCACTCTCTCGACTTCTCTACTGCCTTTCTTCAGGGCAGCCTACACGAGCAGGTCTACCTGCGCCGACCACAGGGCTTCACTGGTACCTTCCCTCCTGGGACCCAGTGGCTTCTCAGGCGCCCGGTCTACGGCCTGCGTCAGGCTCCCCGCGAGTGGCACGACACGCTACGTGCCACGTTAGCAGACCTGCAGTTCTTTCCGTCCTCTGCTGACCCTTCACTGTTTGTGCGTTCCGGCCAGACTCCGTTCTACATCCTTGTCTACGTAGACGACCTGGTCTTCGCTACTCCTGACAAGGACGCACTGGCCTCTGTGAAGGCTGAGCTGCTGAAGAGACACACCTGCACTGACCTTGGAGAGCTGCGTCGCTATCTTGGCCTGCAGATCTCTAGGGACAGAGCAGCACGCACCATCACTCTGACCCAGTCACACTTGGTGCGTCAGGTCCTTCAGAGGTTCGGTCTTCAGTTCTCCTCCGCACAGCCCACACCTCTACCCGTAGACCATGGGCTCTCTGCTCCCGTTCCTGAGGAGCCAGTAGAGCCCAGTGGCCCCTACGCAGAGCTGGTGGGTTGCCTCATGTACCTGATGACTTGCACTCGCCCAGATCTCGCATACCCTCTCAGCATCCTGGCTCGCTTTGTGGCTACAGGCAGACACCGACCTCAGCACTGGTCTGCCGCTAAGAGGGTTTTGCGTTATCTTGCTAGTACATCAGGCATGGGGTTAGTGCTAGGAGGACGCAGGCCAGTGGTCCTTACTGGGCACACAGACGCTTCTTGGGCAGACGACGCTGAGACGCTCAGGTCGTCGCAGGGCTACTGTTTCAGCCTTGGTTCGGGTGCTATCTCTTGGAGATCCACTCGCTCGTCGTCTGTGGCTCAGTCTAACTGTGAGGCTGAGATCTACGCTGGTGCCATGGCGGCACAGGAGCTCCGCTGGCTGACCTTCTTGCTCACAGACTTAGTTGAGCGGCCTAGCTCTGCCCCGGTCCTGTACGCTGACAACAGGGCCATGATACTCCTGTGTCAGGAGCCTCGGCTTGAGGGCAGAGCGAAGCATATCCAGCTGCGGTACTTCCTCCTGCGCGAGCTACAGCAGCGCCGCCAGGCCCGCGTAGTTCACTTGGCCTCAGGTGCCAACACAGCTGATATCTTTACTAAGGCGCTTGCGCCTAAAGATCATCAGCGGCACTGTGTACAGCTTGGTCTTGTTCCTATAGCTGCTCCCCTGTTAGGATCCTGATTGTGTACTCTCTATTATATATGCTTGTCAGACTGGCCTTGTGGCCTTACCTCCAGTGGCTGGACTAGTAGTGCCACCCTGGCTTGCTTCAGTTTTGGTTGTATTCTTGCTGACTGGTCTCCAGACCCCTGCCTCAGTGGTTGGACTAGTAGTGCCGCCCTGAGCTGTTTGCTTCTTGTTTAGTTTCACCCCTTGTCTAGCCTAGGGGGTGTGTCAACTTATACATATTATCTATGTAGAAGTTATAGGCTAGACTGAGGTATGCTTCTAGTGAGTACAACCAACTAGTATTTGTTCTAGGTTTCCACCTCTAGTAATCATTCGTTTCTACGTTAACAGACTTGACCCCCTCCCCTAGGCTGAAAATTCAGGGTCGGTACATCAAAACACCCTGAAAATCAGCAAAATCAGGAGAAATTTCCTGAAATCTCAGGGCCTGAAGAGAACCATGTTTGTTTCCCAGATGAAATGAAACACGCTGCCTTTACAAGAGGACCAAAGCAAGCTTTCACAATAACTGTATTCAATAGCATGAATGAAGTTCTCTCCTCCCTCCTCACCCAATGTTGAAAAATGTCACTTATCACAAATCTCTTCAGAAGCCGGACACGCTAAGAAATTAGGAGGCAGGAAAACAAACGTGACCCCATGAGCAATCAGCCTGTCGGTGGACGCTGCAGCAGGAATGTTAAGCGGCGCAGGGATCTTCATGGGAGGGTAAGTCTGGAAATAACACTCCCGATCCTTCTTTACTTTGGTCACCAGTCTTCCATTGTCTCGGGTTGTGAAATTCGACCCTGGCTGTGCGTTCAGCAGGTCGGACAGCTCCCATCGCCCTTGGAGTACATGGAGGCGGAATATGCGCCTCTGCTGATCCTCTGTGAAAGCATCCCACTGGATTTGCTCGAAACCGATGTTGGACGGCACGAGGAGGGTGGACGGCTCTGAGAAGAGCTCCGACTCGGATTGAACTGCGAGAAAATGAAGAAGAGGACAAGGGAAGGAGGTCGTGTGATTGAGACATTGAACAGACGGGAAGCATCCCACCAGATGCGTTCGAACCCGATGTTGGAGGGCACGGGGAGGGTGGAGGGCTCCGAGAGAAGCTCGGCCTCGGAAGGAGGATGTGTGATGGAGGCGACGAACCCGACTCTGCTGATCCTCTGTGAAAGCTCCCCACTGACGATGCTGGAGGGCATGAGGAGGGTGGAGGCTCTAAAAGGAGATCCGCCCCGGATTGAATGCGAGAGAACGAGCAGGAAAGACGGGAAGGAGGTTGGGCGATGGAGATGTGAAAGAAGGGAAGGAGGTTGTGTGGTCGAGACGCTGGGCAGACGGAAGCAATCGAAGGACAGGAGGGGTAGGGGGATTGTCCGACGGAAAAGTGCACCAATAGTAGAAACAGAGGAGGAATGTCGAAATCGATGGCTCCGGCATACGTACCAAATTTGGAGAAGATTTGCGAAAAGGTCGAGAGGAAGGGGTGCTTAATCTGCTGCACCAGTGCAATCGCTTCCGTCGCGTCAGCAGATGCTGTGCGGAAAGAGAAGCAGACGGTAAAGAAGGCCAGTAGGGAAAACATGATTCTCCCGGACACATTCTTCAGTGCCATGGTGGGAAGATTTTCTGGAATCTGCCTGTCTGTAGGACTGAATGCGTGAGACGTAGGCCAGTGGCAGTTAATATGTTTTAGAGAGGAGACAAGCCCGAAGATAGCCAATGCCAGCTCTTCCCACCAACTCGGCTAAGTTGCGCAACTCGGGACGTTTATCTTTCTCAATCGCTCTGTTAAATAGCTATACCAGTCTGTTTTGGCAAGAATTGCGCAACTCGAGTTGTGCAACTCGGGGCTGTTTTGCACGCCCTAAGGGCGTGTCCAGCACGTACGTTTACAGTACACGGATCACGGTTCAGTAGGAACTATCGCGATCAGGAGCGGTTTTCGCAATTCACCCCGTTGGACCTTTGAAAACCATATTGAACCGTATAAAGTGAATTGTTAACGTACGCGCTGGACACGCCCTAAAGCTGCTGGAAGGAAGTAGGATGACTCGCTGAACGTAACAGTTGTGGTTCAGTGTGGTGCAGGGGCTGGTTCGGCCTGGGATGGTTTGGGACGGGGCAGGTTGCGTGATGCGTACGGTTTCGTCCGCCGGCGGTCCGAACTCGATATGCGTGTGGTACAAGTTCCGAACAACGCTAGTATGTCCGGCCTGGACCCCATGTGGTACCTTTCGTTCAGAGAAGGTTCCATAATTCAAATGTTTCAACACGTGCGAAAACATTTGCGAAAGTATCTCAAGCGCCAGCGAACAGAGGCTGGCGGGGACTTTGGCGATTTTTTGCAGGAGTGTGCGTTGCTCGCATATCTCGCTGCGTCGCTGGAGGGGGGAAATGTTCGGAACTGAGTGGCGCGTTCGGACGGCCTTCAGGAAGCTGTCCGGACGGAGGGTGCCAAATTCGGAGGGATGGAGGGTTCCGCGAAGGGGTGGACGAGAAAACGCACGAACATCTGCGAAATATGTCACAACACCTGATGTAGAACATTCGGTTCCGAACGTTACAACAGTTTTAATTACGGTTTCGGTGGGTTTCAATTTAGAAATCGCTGGTACAGTGTGGTGAGAGTTCGGGTTCGAACGCTATGTTCCACTCCACACCACGAATTGCTTCCACAAACCAAGGGGCTGCCAGTTTTTCATGTCGATTTGCGTTACAGTGCGTTTCCTTACGTTGCATTACGGTAAAATAGTTTTACACTTCGGTAATCAGGTTTCCACCCCCTGAAGAACTCTGTCGTTGGGGCAGCCGAGCAATGCGTTTGTTTTTCTTTTGCCGGTGCCAGCCCCCCCTGTGTCTGGGGTTGTTCCTCTGGCGGGCTCATGCGAGCAGCAGCCCGGGGTTTGGGGCATGGCACCACAGCCCGAAGAATCTTGGTTTGGCGAATCCTTCCCGAAAACATTTAGGACATACCGAGTTGGAACCAGATTTGGTAACCCATCACACCCAGGAGAATAAGACTTACTGGATTTGGAACCTGTAAGCACGGAGTAAGTAATTCCATGAGAGACCAAAAACGGGTTTTGGATTATCAGGCCTATCAACAACAAACATCCTCAAACGTACGAGAAGGCCTCACAACAAAACCCTGAAATTTCGTATATCTCGAGTAGACGTGTTATTGGCTGTGTTCTACAGGCATTTGACGTCGACGTGGACGTCGACATCGAGGAAGCTCCTCAAGCGACTTCGAGAGCACTGGTTACCACTCAAACCAGGTGCACTTTCCAAACCTCGCTTGGAAGCAACGCGCCAAACGGTGGAAAGCGCGAGCGAAAGGAGAGAGGATCCAAATTGAGGCTGATGTAACGCCATACGCAAGGTGAACTCCTCGATTTAGCGAACGTCAGCATTGCGTCACCTTTGCGTCAAATTTGTCAGGGAGGGAAGCGAAGGGGGTGTTTCCCTGACGTAGATGTCATCTGTACATGGACCTGTTTTGCAGGCATTTTGATGTAACTAGGTTCGGGTACCTTGTGCCAGGTTTGGACGAAATTTTGCGGGCTGACCCTCGCTCCGAAGCAAAAAATCAGGCTTTCGGAAGGTGCTCTGATGTAATCTGCACTTTCCTTTCTGCCTGCAGAACGCAGCCATTATGCGGTGAAGTAGGCCGCAACACTTCGGAAAACAGAGTCTGCGCTTCACCGCTTTTGACCGTAGAAAAAGTACAGAAGGTGACTCATGGGTGACATCCCAATGCAGATCTGACCGGAGAAACGCACCCACCAATCAGGGAGGAAGGGATTCCCCCCTCCTCCATCCCCTCCATAGAAAATGCGTGACTCGAGAATTTGGAGATCTCTAGGTTTGCAGTTTTCTAGGGTTTTCCGCAGATAGGTTCTGCGTAGTCTGGCTTAGTTGCGTCACCCAAAAGCTTCTATACCTATACGTCCTTGCCGATCGCGAATAATGACCCTGTATTCTGGTGGATGACGACGTGATTGTTGTAAAATACGCGTTGTATTGAGATGACTGCAGGTGATTGCTGCTGCAAGAGCGTTACGGAACTATCACCGTAAGCTATCACCAGGCAGAGCTGCGAGTTTCACTTTCGACAAATTCGAGGATTATGGGTCGGAAACGGCCATCGAAACCCGGATCTGGCTCCTCGCAGGGAGCCGATTCGTCATCTGGCGATGCCACCTCATCAGGCGGAGGTTCGCGTGGTGCTCTGGTGGTTTCGGGTAGTTCTAGCAGCAGACGAGGAGCCGGGGATAGAGGGGTTTCCGCGCAACAAGACGAAGGATCCAAGGGAAAAGAGCTTGGATACCTTGAACCCTCAGATCCGCGATTCGCGGAGGTGAAATCGGAATGCGAGAAGGCAGTGAAGGCGCTTCGGCGTGGCAACGCTCCGAAAGCGGTGAAGCTTATAAAGGAGGCCACGGGGAGATTCACGTCCGTTCCTCTATGTCACCGCGTGAACGGACACATCCACCTCAAACTCGCGAATATGATCGAAGATCCTTCCACGAAGCAGCGCCATCTGCGCACGGCCTTAGAATCCGCGCATAAAGCCACGGAACTCTCCCCCAACTCCGTCGAATACTCCCACTTCTACGCGCAGCTGCTCTTCGAAGCAGCAGACGGGCGTGACTATAGCGAGGTTTTGCGCGAGTGCGAGCGCGGGCTGGGGATTGAAGCGCCGGTGGATCCGGCGAAGGAGAGCCTCCAGGAGGAGAGTCAGCAGGAGCTGGCGACGCCGGGCGAGCGCGTGTCACACGTGCAGAACGAGCTGCGCGGGTTGCAGCAGAAGGCGAACATCGCGTCGTTTTCCACCATCTGGCGCAGCTTCGGGAGCGGCGCGGACGAACGGTTCAAATTCTTGCAGGTATGTGATAGGCACTGGTTGCAGGTGTACGAGCTGCGCGGGTTGCAGCAGAAGGTGAACATCGCGTCGTTCTCCACCATCTGGCGCAGCTTCGGCAGCGGCGCGGACGAGCGGTTCAAATTCCTGCAGGTATTTGAGCAGTAGTGGCAAAGCTGAACGGTCTAAATAGCTGCAGGTATTTGAGAAGCAGTGGTTAAGCTTTTGGAGGCATTTGATGAACGAACAGGCTAAGAAATTCGAGGTGTTTGATAGGCGGTTGGATTTCTCGCAGGTATTGTAGTGGTTTAGGATTTCGAAGGTACTTGATAAGCGGAACAAGTTCTTCCACGTTTTTAACAGGCGGTTTAAGTGTTTAAGTTTTTTAACGGACCCTGGTAAACAGGGAGTCGCGACTAGGGCGTGACTCGAATTGCTATTTCCGCTCTGATTAAATCGTATTCGGGCGTGTTTGAGAAAACCCTGCCTCCCCTCTCCTTTCTCCCCTCTTAACCCCTTTTCAGCTCCAGTTTCTTTAGCGGGCGATAAACAATTTGTAAAAAGAGCAGGTGAAGAAGATCTCGGACGACCCGATTGAGCTTCGCTCGTCTTTCGAGGCGCCTCAACGATAGTTCGTGAGAAACGCTGCGTATTGCTTCCCCCCCTTGGCCTCCCCGCCTCCCCTCTTCCTCCCTCCTCTCCCTCTCTCTTTTCTAAAGCAGGTGAAGAAGATTTCGGACGATCCGATTGAGCCGCGCTCGTCCCTGCCCCCTCGGCGCATACACGAGGTGAAAGAAACGCGTGGTGAGAACGCTCGAGGAGCGACGCCAGGAGATTGAAGTGCGCGTCACGGCCGCACGTATGCTGCTTGATGCCTTCCCCCATTTCAAGCCCCTGGCCTCCCCCCTTTCCCCCCTCTCTTCCACCTCCCCGCCCCCCTCCCGCCGCCCTCGCCACCCCTCTTCCGCCCGTCCCCTTCAAAAGCAGGTGAAGAAGATTTCGGACGACCCTATCGAGCCGCGCTCGTCCCTGCCCCCTCGGCGCATCCACGAGGTGAAACGCGTGGTGAGAACGCTGGAGGAGCGACGCCAGGAGATTGAAGTGCGCGTCACCGCCGCACGCCTGCTCCAGCAGCAGCAGCAGCAGCAGCTGCAGCTGCAGCAGAGCCAGGGGCAGACCGCAGCAGCAGACGGCACTTCCGCTTCTGCCTCTGCTGCTGATTCCGCTTCCGCTTCCGCTTCCGCCTCTGTGTCCGCCCGCGGGGAAAGGAAGGGGGAGGGGGACGAGGAGGGCGCAGGGGGAAAGGATGCGGGGGGGAAGAGGCGGGGGCTGGACGGGGCGAAGAGGCGGAGGGAGGTGTTGGCGGGGAGGCGCGGGGCAAGGGCGCAGTCCGCCATAGAGGAGAGGGTTGAGAAAGTGCGACCGTTTTGGAAAGCGCTGGGGCGAGAGGAGAAGGATAAGATCCTGGATATCCCCATTGCTGACGTGTGCGAGGGCCTTGCCAGGTCAGCGCGCGGCGGGAAGGGGGCGGGTGTGGGGAGTGCGGGCGGAGGTGGAGGCGCAGGAGGCGGAGGTGGAGGCGGAGGGGGAGGCGGGGGGGGAGGGGGAGGGGGGGGAGGGGGAGGGGGATTGCATGTGTCTGGTAATGGCGGTGGCGGCGCAAGTGCTGGTCTGGGGGGGGAATCTGCTGCGTCAGCGGCGGCAGCAGCAGCTGCAGCGGAGGAGATCATGTCTGAGGCGCTGAGTTTTGCCAAGGAAAGAAAGCACTGGCAGTTCTGGGTGTGCTGCCTGTGCGACGAGCGATTCATAGACAACGAGTCGTTTCAAGCGCACATACAGGAGGGGCACATTGGCAAGCTGACAGGCGAGCAGGAGCGGATGATACCCGAGGATGAGGCGCTTTCGTGGGAGGAGATGTTTACTAGGCTGGATGTTACACCCGTGGATGGGAGCGAAGCGTTGAGGAGGCTTATAAGGGAGATGAATGCTGCGGCTGGCGTGGGGGGTGTCGGGGAGGGAGGGAAGAAGACTGTTGGTGAAGGGGCGAGTGAGGAAACAGAGGGGAAGGTGCGTCTTGGGAAGCGAAAGGAAGAGGATGGAGCAGAGACGAAAGGAGGTGAGGAGGGGGGTGCTGGTAAGGCGGAGGAGGATGAGGAGGGGATGGAGGAGAAGGCGGAGGAGGGGGAGAAGGATGAGAAGGATGAGAAGGATGAGAAGGATGAGAAGGATGAGAAGGATGAGAAGGATGAGAAGGATGAGAAGGATGAGAAGGATGAGAAGGATGAGAAGGATGAGTCGAGTGCGATGGAGGTGGATGAAGGGGGCCGCGAAGAGGAGGGCGAGGAGGGCGCGGAGGAGGTGGATATCGAGAAGGGAGTGGCCGCTGCTCTAGGCGAGACCAAGGGTGGGAGTGAGGAGGGGGGGAATGCGGGAAGAAGGGGAAAGTTGGAGTCAGGAAGGGTTTTAGGTGAGCGAGGGAGAGAGAGTGAGGGAAAGGAGGAGAATACGGAGGTGAAAGGGGGCAGTGGCAGTGCCACTGGTGGGAAAGTGGGGGGTAAGGAGGAGGAGGAGGACGAGGAGGAAGTGGAGGAGGAGGAGGAGGAAGAGGAAGAGGAGGAGGAGGAGGAGGAGGAAGAGGAGGCGATAAGGGAGAGCAATTTGGGACTCGAGCAAACAGGTGCCAGCGAAAAAGGCTCTGTTTCTGAAGCTGCTGCCGCTGCAGCAGCAGCGGCGGCAGATGCAGCAGCGGAAGTAGCGGCAGCAGCAGCAGCAGCGGTGGCAGCAGAGGGTTGCAGAATCTGTGGGGAGTCTTTGCAGTGTCGCCGGCATGCGAGGGCGCTACCTGTTGTGGAAGATAGGGAGAGGCAGCGGGAGCTGATGCGACTGAAGCATATAGTGGAGCGCATGCTTAAAGGGGGGATACTGACCCGGGATCACTTGGCGCGCATGGTGCAGTATACTATGGCAGAGGTGCATGCCCTGGCGGAGAGGGAGCAGAAGGGCTTGAAGGAGGGAGGAGAGAAAGGTACAAGTCCGATGGAACGGAAGGGTACTGAGGAGAGAGGAGAGAAAGGTGCGGAGGAGACTGAACGAAAGCCGGTGGTTGATGTGGAAGGGAAGGATGCAGCTGTTGCAGCAGCTTCTGATGGTGGGAGTGGTGGTGACGGTGGCGTTGCGTCTGATGCTGACGCTGCTTCTGGTGTTGCTGCTGATGCGGACGCTGTTGATGCTACTGCAGCTGATGCTGCTGTCGCTCTTGCCGCTGCTTCGGCTGAAGCAGAAACGCCAGGGGAGGAGGCAGCGAGCGAGAATCACTCTGAAAAGGAGCTGCTGAAAATGACGCCTGTTGGAGACGCACCACTGGAGGAGGAGTCAGATAAAGAATCACAGAAGGAGCTACATGAAGAGTCACTAGAAACTTCCTTCAAAGATTCGCCAAAAGAGTCAGAGATGGAGGAGAACCAGGGGGGAACACGGAAGGAGGAGGGGACAGGGAAGGAGGAGGGGACATTTTTGAGAATTCTCAAAAACACCCTGCAAAATCAAGAGATGGAGGAGAACCAGGGGGGGACAGGGAAGGAGGAGGGGACAGGAAAGGAGGAGGGGACAGGGAAGGAGGAGTCTTGCCCGTCCCTCAATTTCACCCCATCGCCGGTCTTTGTGCGCTTTCTTACAGCGCGGCAGATACAGGAGCTGCAGGCGTACCTGCTAGAAGCGGAACAGGGGGCGTACTATATCGAGAACAAGGAGGCAGTCCTCCCAGACAGGCTATTGCTAGACGATGACTTCACGAGGATTATTCTGGATGAACGCGTGCTGAAGGACGTGGCTGAGGAGCCTAAGCTGCCGTTTCGGGATGCTGTGGGCGGGAGGGTGGAGGCGGGAGGGGGAGGAGAGGGGAGGGTGGGAGGGGTGGAGAGGGGTGGGGGAGACGGGAAAGGGAAAGGGAAGGTGGGAGGAGGGGAAGAGAGAGAGGGGAAGGATGAGGGAGGGGTGAGAAAGGGAGCAGGTAGAGGGGAAGGGGGTTCTGCTGCAAAGGGGGAGGAGGGGGGTGAGGTAGAAGGAGCGAAGGATGGGTCGGAGGGTGAGGCAAGGACAGAAGGAGATGGCAGCAAGGGAGAGGGAATGGGAGAGGGAGAGGGAGCGGGAGAGCGAGAGGGAGATGGAAAGGGAGAGGGAGAGGGAAAGGGAGAGGGAAAGGGAGAGGGAGAGGGAGAGGGAGAGGGAAAGGGAGAGGGAAAGGAAGGCACAGACGCAGGTGAATGGATAAGCGCTGGTGAGAAAGGAGACCCAGGGAAGGGGGGTGAAAAGGAGGCGGAGCAGGAAGGCGGAGAGGCAGCAATGGAGGCGAAGCAAGAAGGGGGCAAGACGGAGGCTCTGGAAGAGGAAGTGGGGTGTGAGGAAGGGACAGAGGCGAAACCCGCAGTGAAAGGGGAGGAGGAAGATGAGCTGACGGTTCCTTTGCCCGACGACCCTAGCATGAAGTGGCCCCTGCCTCTCATGCGAGTGAAGAGAGGCGAGGGGGGAGCGGGAGGAGTGGGGGGGGGAGCAGGGGGAGGAGCAGGGGGGTCAATGAGTGTTGGAGCCCCAGCAGGGGGAGGAGGGGGAGGAGGGGGAGGAGGGGGTGCGCCCACTACTCCTGCCCCGGCTGCTGGTCCTGGTGGTGCTGGTGGTGTTGGTGGTGCTGCTGGTGCTGGTGTTGCTGCTGGTGCTGCGTCTGCTGCTGGTGCTGCTGCTGACGCGCCCAGGCACGAGGATCTACAGCTAGCCTGGATCTTTGGGCGCATGGATTACGAAATGGCGGCGCCGGCCTGGCGAGGTGCTTATAAAGAGGGCCTGGAGAAGGCCCGGGAGGTGATGGAAGGGCTGGACACGGAGTACAACTCGTTAAAGTCACAATGCGATAGGAGGATTGAGCTGGAGATTGCTGAGCGGAAGCTGGGGAAGTTGGAAAGGCTGTTTGGGAGGGAGAGGCGGCGGAGGGAGAGGGACCCGGGGTACGTGAAACGGTTTGCGAGTGTGCTTAAAAGGAGGATGGCGGATCTTGTTGCGGCGGAGGAGGAAGCAGTGAGAGAGATTGCGGATGAGGAGGCGAAGGCGGTGGAGGAGGGGCGAGGGAAGGGGGCAGGGGGAGGAGGAGGAGGAGGGAAAGGAGAGGGAGAAGGGGAAGACTGTAGTGGTAGTGTTAAGGGAGGGGAGAAGTTAGAGGAGGGGGGAAAGGAGGATGAGGAGGTTGAGGTGGGCAAGAGAGGAGAGGAAGAGGCGGATGAGAGGGCTGCTTTGCTGGGTGGTAAGGAGGGGAAATTAGGAGGAAAAAGGAAGGATGGTGGGGAGGTGGAGAAAGGAGGAGAGGGGGATGAGGTGGTGAGAGTAGATGACTCGAAGGAAGGTGATTCAAACGAAGGTGACTCAAAGGAAGGTGAGGGTGCGAAAGAGAAGGATGGGGAAAAGGAGAGCGGTGGGAAAGGAGAGGGGAAAGGAGGGAAGGACGAGGAGGGGACGGAGGGGAAAGAGGGGAGGGAGGGGAAAGGGGAGAAGAAGCAAGTGAAGCGGAAGCTGTGGTCTGAGAGGAGGTTTCGGGCGAATAAGATTGAGACGAGTGTCATCCGCAACGTGCTGAGCGACTACCAGACTGCTCTCTTCAGCGAGGTGAGCTCTCTTCAGCGAGGTGAGCTCTCTTCAGCGAGGTGAGCTCTCTTCAGCGAGGTGAGCTCTCTTCAGCGAGGTGAGCTCTCTTCAGCGAGGTGTCTCCCTCGCTCTCTTCCTCCTCCTGCCCCGGCTCCCCCCGCTCCCGTTGCTTCTCCTTCAGTGTACCCCGCTCCCTCTGACTTAATAATAGCCCCGCATGCCATGCAGCAATCTGTTCTCCCTCGCCCTCTCCCATCAAAGCATCATTGTCTGCCTCATGGGGGCTCCATCCATCCATCCATCCATCCATCCATCCATTCATCCATCCATCCATCCATCCATCCATCCATCCATCCATCCATCCATCCATCCATCCATCCATCCATCCATCCATCCATCCATCCATCCATCCATCCATCCATCCATCCATCCATCCATCCATCCATCCATCCATCCATCCATCCATCCATGCATCCTTTCCTCTTCTCACCTACCTTCCCCTGCCTTCCTCCTTTCTGTCTATGCAGCCTCGCATGCCGTGCGGCGACCTGCTCTCCCACTCCCCCTCCCATCTGGGCGGCGGCACCGACTCGGATGAGGACGAGCACGACAGCTGGCGCGGGCCGGAGTTTGCCGCCCAGCTGGATCTGCGCATGGAGGGCGCAATTCGGAGCCACAGGAACAGCATCCTGGCTGAGGTGGGCTTTAAGGAGGGAAATGAGGGCAGAGAGATTGGGGGGGGGGGAGGGGGGTGGGAAGGGCCTTGTTAGACCTGTGCATGGAGGGTGCAATCCGGAGCCACAGGAACAGCATCCGCAGAGGTGGGGTTTAAGGGGGGAAGAGAGGGGAGGGGAGGGGGGAGAGAAAAAGAGGGGGGGACATGGGAAGCACAGGAACAGCATCCTGGCAGAGGTGGGGTTTAAGGGGGGGAGAGAGGGAGGGGGGGGGGGGGGAAAGAGGGGAGAGGGGGGGGGGGAGATGGGAAGCACAGGAACAGCATGCTGGCCGCAGTGGGGTTTAAGGGGGGGAGAGAGGGGAGGGTGGGGGAGGAAGAGAAAGAGTGGATAAGGGGGGGAGATGGGAAGCACAGGAACAGCATCTTGGCCGCGGTGGGGTTTACGTTTGGAGCTTGGAATGTGAGAGGGAAGGACAGCAAAGAGGGGGTGAGGGGGGTTGGGGGGGGGGGGAGCTGGGGGCCTATTCTTGGCAGACCTGCGCATGGAGGGCGCAGGGGGGTCTATCCATGGAGGGCGCGATCACAGACATCTGCTTTTGAGTCGACTCAAAAGCGCGATCACAGACATTAGAACAGCAACCTGCGAGTGGTGGGGTTTAGGCGAAGTGGGTGTGTGGGTTAAAGGGGGGGGGCTAAACGGGGTCTTTAGGTTTCTAAGGAGAAGGGAGGGAGAGGTGGGCTGAAGGCGAGAGGAGATGGCGTGTGGGGGCTGAATTGAGGGTGGTTTCAAAGGGGCAAGGAAGAGGGGTAGGTTTTGTTGCTTACATTGCACCTATGCGGATGGAGGTGCATTGGGTGACTCGTAGCTTGAGGCGCCTCAAAAATAGATTGCTTGCGGATGGAGGTGCAGTAGGTGACTTGTAGCTTTTGTTGCGCCGGCCCCTCTTTATTGCTCTATTCCCTGACCACCTTTCGTGAGCACAAGGAGCTCGCGGAGGAGAAGATCTCCTTTCACCTGGAGGCTGTGCAGAGGTCAAGTGCTAAGCTTGTTGCGCTGCGCCTCCTCTGTATTGCTCTCTCCTATGCTTCCCATCCCATCTCCCTTGTGCAGAAGGAGCAAGCGGAGGAGAAGATTCTGTTTCACCTGGAGGCGGTGCAGAAGTCAAACGCCAAGCTGCACCAGGCGTCGGTGTTTGACTACCGCTCCGTCATGCTGCCCATCGTCAAGACCTTCCTGCAGGTAAGCACGACCGCTCCGTCATGCTGCCATCGTCAAGACCCTCCTGCAGTATAGTTGTTGGACCAGGTGTGCTGTTTTGCTACTGTCTTTTCTGTATCATGTTTCAATCCTCCCACCTTTTTTTCTTCTTCGCTTTTTTCGGTTACTGCTGCTGTTTTTATTTCCAGAATCGCCTGGAGCAGGCAGCAGAGCAGGACGCCCAGAAACGTTCCGACGCTGCCCAAGAGGCGTTTCTTGCTGAGCTGGACAAGCAAGGGAAGATGGAGAAGAACCGCGAGAAAAAGAAGGGCAAGGAAAAGGCTAAGGGTGGGAAGGGTGGCGGTGGGGGGGCAGGGGGGGGGGGCGGAGGAGGAATGGGAGATGTTGCTGGTAGGGGGACAGGAATGAGAGAGGAGGGAGGGGGAGGGGAGGGTGTAGGGAGAGAGACCGGGAGTAGTCGTAGGCTGGGGGAAGGGGAGACGGAGGAAGAGAATGAGGGTGAGGAGGAAGGGGAGGGTGGGAGAGCAGGGAGAACGGATGGGCCAGGACAGGAGCAACGAGGAGGGTCAACCGGGGGAAGGTTGGCTAGGCAGTTAGGAGCAGGAGGAGAGAGAGAAGGGGAGAGAGGAGACAGGGAGCGGGGAGAAAGGGAGAGGCGGGAACGGGAGAGGGCACCACAGAGTGCTGCAGAGAGGGAGGAAGAGGCGCAGAGGAGGCGGGAGCAGCAGGAGATTCTGAGGCAGCAGCAGGAGATGGAGGATGAGGAGAGGAAGCTGGAGTGGGCGCTCTCCCTGCAGAGGCAGGCGGAGGAGGCGGCCAAGCGGCAGAGAATGGCCGAGTTGGAACAGCAAGCAGAGCGGCTCAGACCCAAGCAAGCAGCCTTTGAGGCACCGCAAGAGCAGAGGCAGTGGATAGGGGAGATGGCGCTGCAACCAGAGCGGTTGAATCCTAGAGTGAGGCAAGAAGAGCGACATGAGGGTCAGAGTCGGAGTGGTTTAGTTGGCTTGCCCAACGGGGGACCTCCTTTTGATGATGTGCCTGGGAAGGCGTTGCTGGTGGGTGTGAATGGGTCTCCTGTGGATGCCTCTGCTGCTGCTGCTGCTGCTGCTGCTGGCGCTGCTGCTGGTGGTACCGCGACTGGCAGTAGTGGGGGTATAGGCCCGACAGGGTGGGGAGAGGCTCCAGAGGCGGTTGCTGCCAGTGTGGATGCGTCAACAGGTGCGCGCCACCAGAGCCAACAACTGCAACAGTCCCGCCAGTTTAGCCCGCAATTTCAACAGAACCAACAGACCCAACAGACCCAACAGGCCCAACAGGCCCAGCAGGCCCAACAGGTCCAGCAGCCTTACCACTCCCAGCACGGGCAGCACGGCCAGCACGGGCAGCCCGGGCAGCAGGTGCAGCATCCTCCCTCAGGCGCAGAGCAGGAGGACGTTTGGGGCGAAGGGGGGTGGGGCGGAGGGAATGCGGGTCAGGACGGGGGGCGGGCTGGGAGGGAGAGGGAGGGGGCAGGGAGTGTGGCGATGGGGAATGGGATTGTGGAGAGTGGCGGGTGGCGGAGTGAAGATGGTAGGGGGAAGGCAGTGGAGTCCGCTGAGCAGAAGCAGAAGCAGAAGCGGAAACAGGGGGGGCAGCAGCAGCAGCAGCAGCAGCAGGAGGGGAAGCACCATGGGGGGCGGCAGCAGCAGCAGCAGCAGCAGCAGCAGCAGCAGCACCACCACCAGCAGCACCAGCAGCCATTGCAGCAGCAGCTGGGGGGTGTGACCCAAGCAGGAGAGGCGGGGCCGCTGGCAAACGGCGTCCCAGCGTCCAGGTTGGTGTCAGGTGATCGGTCAGGTGGCATAGTGCGCACCATTGCTAATCCGAGCCAGCGATTGGGACACAAGGGCAGGGGGAGAGACGCCACTGTGCTCCCATCCCTGCAGCAGCAGCAGCAGCAGCAGCAAGTGCCGAATCAGCAGGGTAGGGCAGGGCAGAATGCGCAGGGCGCTGCTGCACCTCCTGCCAATGCAGGGCTGCTGGGAACGCCCCTAACGCAGAGAGCAGGTTCAGGTGAAATTCCAGGTGCTGGTTCTGTTGATGGTGGTGGTGGCACTGATGGCAGCGCTGCTGGTGCTGGCGAAGGGGGAGGGCAAGGTGGCGGCAAGAACAGGCCAAGGCGGAAAAGGGGCGGTAGGGGCAAGGCAGGGGGAGCGGGTGGGCAGGTGGAGGGAGGTTTGCAAGCAGGGGCGGGTTCCCAAGTGGGAGAGGGTTCAGAGGTGAGCGTAGGGGCAGGTGAAGCTGCGGATGCGGGTGCTGCTGCTGCTGCACTGGGCACTGGCACTGGAGGAATCGGTTTGCAACAGCAGAGGCAGCCGCAGCAGCTGCAGCCGCAGGTGCAGCAGCAACAGTCGCAGGCACAGCAGGTGCAGCAGCAACAGCAACCGCAGCCGCAGCCGCAGCCGCAGCAGCAGCAGCAGCAGCAGTCACTGCAGCAGCACCCATCCCAGTTGCCCCCGCTCCTGCCGTTGGTGGCTGCAACCACCTTGGCTGCTGCTGCTGGGGTGGTAGGAGCAGGGGCGGTGGGAGTAGGAGCGGTGGCTTCAGGGGGAGTGGGAGTAGGGGCAGCGCGGGTGGTACAGGATGGGCTGCTGGTGGCACCAGACGTGGTTAGAAGCGGGAGTGGTGGACCTGCCAATTCTAATGTTGGACCCATGAGCGCGTGTGCTAGGCCTTCTGCCCCAACACACAGCAGCATGCCTGGCTTTCCCGGTTCTGTTTTGCCTGCTGCTTCCCTGGCTGGTTCTCACGAGGAGGTAACAGGCAGGCACGCCCTCCAAGGGGTGACTCCCCAGAGGGTAGTTCCCTTTCAAGGGGTAACTCCCCCTCCCCATCAAGGGGTAATTGCCCCTCAAGGGATGGTTCACCCTCCAGGCCCTACTGGTTGGGGAGGGAAGGGTTATGCAGGGGGGTGGGGCGAGGGTCCCCAGGGGGAGGAGAGGCAGGGACGGGGTGCGGCTTGGCCAAGGCAGCTGGGCGGAGGTATGGGTGGAGGTATGGGTGGAGGTATGGGAGGAGGAGAGAGGGTGGAGGAGGTGGATGTTGAAGTGGCTGTCGGACCTAGGTCTGCTGCTAGAGAGAGGAGGCGACAGCAGCAGCAGCAGCAGCAGCAACAGCAACAGCAACAGCAGCAGCAGCAACAGCAACAGCAACAGCAGCAACAACAGCAGCGGCAACAGCAGCAGCAACAGCGGCAGCAGCAGCAGCAGCAGGTGCAGATGCGGCATGGTTCGCCACAGTTGAAAGAGTATGCACCATTAGGGTTAGCACAACAACAGGTGCCAGCACAAGCACAGGCACAGCCGCAGGGGCAGGGGCAGGGGCAGGCACATTTGTTGCTCTCTCAGGCGAAGGGCAGCAAGCAGCAGCAGCAGCAGCCGCAGCAGGGACAGACCAGTGTCGCTACCCCTGTGTCGGTTTCAGCACCCCAAGAAACTGGTGTAGAAAGTGACAGAAGTATCACCAACAGCAGTGCCAGCAGCAGCAGCAGCGGTGGCACCAGCAGCAGTGTCAGCAGTGGCAGCAGGCCCCTTGGGCTCTCTGGAATTACCTTTGGGTCTTTCACCAATGCTCCCGTTTCCGGAGGAGCAGCAGCAGGTGCTATTTCCGGCCTTGCTCCCCCCACCCTCCCTCCTCCCTCTCTCAACCCCCCTCCGTCCACCACCCTCACCAAGCCTGCCTCCTCTGCTGCGGCCGATCCTACCACGGCAGCTGGTAGCGCTGCCAGTGCTACCAGTGCTGCTAGTGCTGCTAGTGCTGCCAGCGGTGCCAACGATGCTAATGTGCATGGGTCCACAGGACAGGCTGATTCCTGCATCCCGCAACGCCTGCTACCCACCACCACTGCGTCCGGCCCTCTTCCCAGTCCTCCTGCTCCTGCTCTTGCGGCGTCCGGCAATGCTCCTGGCAGCATTAACGGCCGAGCCACCCCTGCCCAAAACCCTAGCCGCTTCCCAGGCCCTGCCCGAGCCTCCACTAGTGCTGCAGCTGCTGCAGCTGGTGCTGCTGGTGCTTCTCCAGGGGTGTTTGCTCCCCCTGGTGAACCGGACAAGGTGGGAGGTCACAGTCGGCCGGTGGGGCAGAATGAGATGAGCGGCGCGGGTCAGTTCAGCTTTGGACTTGACGCGGATGCTTACGGGGCATTGATGCCGCTGGGAGCAGTGCCTCTTGTGCCAGTGCGCATGCCATACCCCATGCCGGTTCCTGTCCCCATGCCCATGCACATGGGTGCTCCTCCCTTCCCACCATCCTCCATGCCCCTTCTCGGTGCTCCGGCGGGCCCAGGCTCGGCAGCAGCTCTGGCCGCCGGACCTGCTGGTTTGGCAAGCCTGGTGCCAGGGCCGCCGGGCTACATGGGAGCGCAAGGAGGGTACGGCATTGTTCGTCCAGTGGCCGTTCCTGCTTCTGGAGCGATCCCTGGTGCGGTTGCTGGTGGTGCTGCTGCTGCCGCTGCCACTGGTTCTCAGCCGTCGCATGCTTCTCCTCCTCTCTACGCCCCTCCAGGCGTCCCTCCCTCGTTCCCAGGGGCGCCGTTGGTAGCGGCAACGCAAGGGCAGATGGTAGGGTCTGCGCCAGGGCAGATGGAAACTGCAGCAGCAGCAGCAGCGGCGGCGGGGGTAGGGGGGGATCCAGCTGTGCTCATGGCGTACCCTGCAGGGACTGCACCTGCGGGGCTGGCTGCAATGGGGGGGCAAGCAGCAGCTCAAGCACAGCACAGACCGCCCTCCCAGCAGCAGCACCAGCAGCAGCCCTCCCAGCAGCAGCAGCAGCAACAGCCCTCCCAGCAGCAGCAGCAGCAGCAGCCGCAGCAGCAGGTGGGGCAGTCTGGGGCGTTTGCGTCGCCCAGCAAGCTCTCCTCCCATGCTGCTCCCTTCGTGCCAGGAGCAGGAGGAGGAGCAGGAGGCATGCCCACTCTCACATACCCCGCGCCCTTCATCCGTCCCCTCCCATCGCCACACATCCGACCCCTGCCACCCCATCCACAGGCGCAGGCGCAGCAGCAGCAGGCACAGCCACAGCTGCAGCAACCGCCACAACAACAACAACATCATCATCAGCAGCAGCAGCAGCAGCAGCAGCAGCAACAGCAGCAGCAGCAACAGCAGCATCAGCATCAGCAGCAGCCGCCCATGCACAATGCGCACCTGAGCCATCTCCCTCCCCATACAAGTCATGCTTATCATACCCATACCCATACCCATACCCATACCCAACACCACAGCCCGTCCCCTCCTCCCAACGCTTCCTCCTCACCCTCCCACCCTTATGCCACCCAGTCGTACCCCTCGTCCCTCCCAGCAGCCGCTTTTCAACCTTACTCGTCCCAGCCCCTTCACCACGCAGCGCAACTGCAGCACCAGTCAGCCCAAGCGTACCCGTATGCCCCATCGCCATCCCATCATCTTCCTTCCACTGTCCCCATGGGTTTCCACGCCCAGCAGCCGGGCCCGCAGTCTCAAGCCATGCCATCTCTAGTCACTGAGTTGCCTCTGCAGGAATCACATGCTCAAGTGCTGCCGTCGCAACCGCTACCAAATCCGCAGCCGCATCCGCAGCCGAAGCCACAGGTGCAGGCGCAATCGCAATGGCAGCCGCAGTCGCAGCCACGGGTGCAGTCTGAATCTATATCTGCTGTTGCAGAGGCGCACCAATTGCACCACCATGGAAGCTTCGACACGGACGTAGCAGCCCTACGGCGAGTGGCAGAGGCTGGAGGGGAAGCAGCAGCAAGAGGAACAGGAGCAGCAGGTGCTGCTTTAGCAGCAGCAGGAGGGGCAGTGCCGGCAGTGCAGGGAGCAGCGGGTGGTGAGATGGCGTGGGAAGGAGAGATGGGAGGGGGAGTGAGGGATGAGGGCGGGGTGGAGATGGAGGGAGGGGAAGAGGAATGGGAGGAGTGTGTGAGTGGGCGGACTGAAGGGGGGGATGGGCTGGTGGGAGAAAGGATGGCGCATGGTGGATCTGAGGGGGGAGAGGAGGGAGTCATGGAGGGGGGAATGGAGGGAGGAATGGAGGGAGGTATGGAGGGAGGAATGGAGGGAGGTATGGAGGGAGGAATGGAGGGAGGAATGGAGGGGGGAATGGAGGGGGGAATGGAGGTTGAGGGGCGGAACGGTAACGAGGATAACGAGGAGGAGGATGAGCAGTTTCAAGCGGACCTGCAAAGAGCCATGCAGCAGAGCATTGGTGAGTGCAGTGCAGCAGAGCATTGGTGAGTGCAGTGCAGCAGAGCATTGGCGAGTGCAATGCAGCAGAGCACTGGTGAGTGCAGTGCAGCAGAGCATTGGTGAGTGCAGTGCAGCAGAGCATTGGTGAGTGCAGTGTAGCAGAGCATTGGTGAGTGCAGTGCAGCAGAGCATTGGGGAGTGCAGTGCAGCAGAGCATTGGTGAGTGCAGTGCAGCAGAGCATTGGTGAGTGCAATGCAGCAGTGCTTTGGTGAGTGCAACGCAGCAGAGCATTGGTGAGTGCAGTCCAGCAGAACTGTTTTAAGTGCCGTCTCGGGCGGCTCTGTTGAAAGCACCTGGTGTTTATCCTGCCTTTCAGATCAGATGCATCACACTGTATGCCCCTCAGATATCTTTCCCACGGCGCTCATCATCCCGTTTGCTCCTCCAGATAATTTTTTTCCCTGCGGACTGACCCCGATTTTCTGCTGGCCATATATCCTCCTACCTCTGCTCAACCTTCTGTTCCATTCCCTTTCATTTCACTTCATTCCCTTTCATTTCACTTCATTTCACTTCATTTCATTTCATTTCATTCCCTTTCATTTCATTTCATTCCCTTTCATTTCATTTCATTCCCTTTCATTTCACTTCTCTTTCCCTGATCCAATTCTTTCTCCCCACTGTCACTTGCTCCTCCCAGAGGATCTGGAGCGTTCATCTCACTCCCACTACCATCACTCCGCTGCCCGACACGCATCCAAGCACCAATCAGGAGCAGCCATACCTCTCCAGCATCAATCAGTGTCGGCCTCTCTCTCCGCTCCTGCCAGCCCAGCAACAGGCCTTGACAGCCTGGCAGCAGCGCCTGCCACGTCAGCGGACTGGGATGCCAGGCTGGCATTGACGTTAGGAGAGGAGAGTGGGGAGAAGAGGGGGGGAGGGGCAGTGGAGGGAGGGAGAACACAAGGGGATGAGATGGGGGCGATGGGGGGTGGAGGGGGAGGGGTGGAGATGGTGTGGAGTGCGGGAGGGGAGGATATGTTAGTGGGGCTGAGAAACGAGATTGGGGAGTACAACTGCTTCCTCAATGTGATCATTCAGGTGAGGAAGTGTGAACATTCAGGTGAGGAAGTGTGATCATTCAGGTGAGGAAGTGTGATCATTCAGGTGAGGAAGTGTGATCATTCAGGTGAGGAAGTGTGAACATTCAGGTGAGGAAGTGTGATCATTCAGGTGAGGAAGTGTGATCATTCAGGTGAAAAATGGTAATCATTGAAACGTGCATGAGATGGAGTCGGGGAGTACAAGTGTGTCCCGTTGCTACCTTTCAGGTCAGAAGGTCTTGTCAGGTGGGCAACTATTATGAAGAGGCATAGGTTTTCTTGTTTGTTTGTTGGTTTGCCTTTTTAGTGATCGAGATGATAACAACAACCACCTTCCATATTCCTTTTGTTTTTCATCTTTCCTCCCCCTGATTCCAAAATCCCCAGTCCCTCTGGCACTTACGTAAGTTCCGGGAGCGGCTGCTGCACCCGTCGTGCCACGAGCACGCCCATCAGGGCGACCCCTGCGTCGTCTGCGCTCTAAGAGACATCTTCCTTGCTCTCAACTCCACCACCACTACCATCACTACCACCACCACTAGTACCACCACCAACAATACCACCTCCATATCATCCTCCTCCTCCTCTACCACCAATGCTGCTGCCACCACCAACCCTTCTCTCTCCACCGCTGTCGTTCCGTTTGCTGCTGCCCCTGCTGCCCCTTCGCTTGCTCCTGCTGGCACGGCCACTGCTCCACCTGCTGCCAGTGCTGCTGCAGCTGCGCACTTTGCTGCTGCCCAGTCTGCTGCTGCTGCTGCTGCAGCACCTCCTTCGGTGCGTCCTGCTTGGAAGTCCTTCCCAGGAGCAGCAGCAGCAGCAGCACCCAGAGAGCAACTCTCACAAGCTACCTCCTCCTCTTCTGCTGCTCGGGCTGCTGCTTCTGCTGCTGACGCTGCTGCTTTTCCTCCTCTTAGCACGGCTGATTTCCCCGCATTAAGTGGCAGCGGCAGCAGCGGCAGCAGCGGCAGCAGTGCAGTGGTGCCATCCCCTCTAGAAGGCGATTCGTTTTCGGACGCAGAGTGTGCTTCAGCCAGCAGCAGGAGCAAGGCCCATGCATGGGGGCCGCAGCAGGCAACTCCACTGTCGCAACCACAACCACAACCACAATCGCAGCTACAGACACAACTGCAAACACAGCCGCAGCCACAACTCGCAACACACAGCAGTTATGCCACTGCGTTAGCAGACCGAGATAAAGCCAGGATTGCACACACCAGCACAGCAACCAGCACAGCAACCAGCACAGGTACCAGCGCAGGTACCAGCACAGCCACTAGCATCACCCCAGACACTGCTGCTGCGGCTAGCAGTATCGCACCTTCTCCCTTCGCCGGAGCTGTGGCTACAACGGCAACAGAAGCCACTTCTGTGCCTCTTTCGTCTACAGCAGCAGCAGCGGCAGCGGCAGCGGCAGCAGGGGTGGCAGTGGTGGCAGCAGCACCGGCAGCAGGGGGAGGGGCGACTCCATCTGTTCGGACGGTGGTGGCACCGACAGCGCTAAGAGTGGCACTTAGCGCCATGTTTACTGACTCTGAGTTTTTCCAGCAGGTGTGTAAGAGCGACATACCCTAAGCACTTAGTGCAACCTTGACAGCGCTCAAAGTGGCACTTAGTGCCATGCTTTCTTGCTCAGTTTGACTAATCAATCGTTCCTCTGCTCTGTGTTCCGTGCCACTATGGTTTCTTTTTCTTTTTCTCTTACTCCTTTTTTGCGCATCTCTCCCCCGTCCAGTCCCAAATGAACGACGCCTCGGAGGTTCTCTTAGTAATCTTCGACTGCCTCCACCGAGCCTTCACCGAACCTGCCGCCGAACCTCTAGGTGAGGCAGCTGCCTCAGCATCAGGAGGAGCAGCCTCGGTTAATGCCACAGCTGCCAACGATTCGGCAGATAATTCTTTTGTTGACGTGGTCAGCGGTTTACCCAATCAGAAACCGGCAGGAAGCTGGGACTGCCCGGCCTCATCAGCAGCTTGGGACCGAGCCTACCTCGCAGGTTTGGCTGAGAGCTCAGCCCTTAATGCGGGATCCGTGCCAAGCCAGACTGCAGCTCCAGGGCAGAACCGTGACGTAGGCGTGGGCGCAGGTTCGGCAGCAGGCTCAGTAGTAGCAGGCTCGGCGTCAGGCCTGGCAGTAGGCTCGGCAGCAGGCTCGGCAGGAGGCTCAGCAGGAGGCTCGCTGACAGCCTCGGGGGCTAGTGCTGTAGTATCTTCGTCTCCCCTCTCGTATGGTGCTGTGGTGGCGAGGGGGAAGGGGGGTGCTAGCACTAGCAGCGCTGCTGCTGCTGCTGCTGCTGCTCCTAGGGGAATTAGTGGGGGTAGCGTGGGGGGTAGGGTAGGTTCTACTGTTTTAGGAGCAGGAGTAGGGTCAACCGGACTGGCTGGGATGGGGAGAGGAGGAGGGGCGGCAGGAGGAGGAGGTGCAACAGGAGGAGGCGTAGGAGGAGCAGCAGGAGCAGGAGGAGGCGTAGGAGGGGAAGCAGCTGCAGCGGCAGCAGCAGAGGCGGCAGTGGAGGCAGCATCGGAGGCAGCAGCAAGAGCATGCATAGCGCATGGGTTGTTTGGGCTGGACGTGACGGAGATGATGAGCTGCTCGAGATGCGGCACGCAGAGCCGCCAGATGCACTATTCCTCCTTCTTCCACCACGCCAACGCCACTGCGCTCAGGCTCTCAAAGGTGTGTTTACGGATCCAAGCCTTGGGCTTTAAGAGCATGCATACCATTCTCTAACCTACCATTCCTCTCGTCCCTAAGCTACCATTCCTCCCAGCTGGGCAACCCCGCCCACCGCCTGGGCGAGCTGCTAGCGGGCAGGGAGCAGCACCACGAGCTGCCATGTGACGTGGACGTGGGGAGCTGTGTGTGGTGTTGAGATCCCTCATCCCCTCTATCGCCTCTATCCCCTCTAACCCCTCTATCGCCTCCAACCCCTCTATCGCCGCCAACCCCTCTATCGCCGCCAACCCCTCTATCGCCGCCAACCCCTCTATCGCCTCCAACCCCTCTATCGCCTCCAACCCCTCTATCGCCTCCAACCCCTCTATCGCCTCCAACCCCTCTATCGCCTCCAACCCCTCTATCGCCTCCAACCCCTCTATCGCCTCCAACCCCTCTATCGCCTCCAACCCCTCTATCGCCTCCAACCCCTCTATCGCCTCCAACCCCTCTATCGCCTCCAACCCCTCTATCGCCTCTCACCCCTCCCAGCTGGGCAACCCCACGTGCTGCCTGGACGAGCTGCTAGCGGGCATGGAGCAGCACCACCAGCTGCCATGCGGCGTGGATGTGGGGGGATGTGAGAGTGCAGTCATCCCTCCATTCGCCCCTGTCTCTCTCTCTATCTCTCCCTATCACCTTTCTCCCTCCCAGCTGGGCAACCCCACGTGCCGCCTGGACGAGCTCCTAACGGGCATGGAGCAGCACCACGAGCTGCCCTCTCTCCCTCTCACCCCCTGTCCCTCTCCTCCCACCCTTCTTGTTGGTTTCAGCTGGGCAACCCCACGTGCCGCCTGGACGAGCTCCTAGCGGGCATGGAGCAGCACCACGAGCTGCCGTGCGACATGGACGTGGGGGGGTGCGGCCGTCCCAACACCATTCAGCACATCCTGCGCCACCCGCCACAGATCTTCACCACTGGCAAGTGCACTTCGGGTCTGATAGAAAGTTTTAAATCTGCATCCGCCACAGGTTTTCACCACTGGAACCGGAGTCATTGTTTTAGGATTTGACATTTTTTTTCCACCACTCCCCCCGTTTTTTTCCGTTGTTTTGCCACTTCTCGTTCCCCCAGTGTTTTCTGACCCTCGTATTTCCATTGCCTCACTGTTTTTAGCCCCATCCTCTGTTTGGACGTGCACATGGGCGTGGGTGTGGTGTACCATGGCCTGTAATTGCTACTCATCCCCCCCCCTCCCGCTCCCCGGCGTTTTATCTGTGGTGACTCAGTCTTGGGATGGAAGAGCGACAGGGAGGAGGCGGAGGACATAGGCCTGACAGTGGGGGTGCTGGACGTGCACATGGATGTGGGCGTGGTGTACCGGGGCCTCTCCCTGCTTTCTTACCTCATTCCCTCTTCTGTTCCCTTTTCTGTTCCCTTTTCTGTTCCCTTTTCTGTTTCCGTTCCGTTGCCCTCTCCCAGTGCTAGGCTGGCAGAGCGACAGGGAGGAGGCAGAGGACATAGGCCTGACAGTGGGAGCACTCGACGTGCACATGGATGTGGGGGTGGTGTACCGGGGTCTCTTGGCGCCCCACCGGGTTCGGCTGGTGTCAGTGGTGTGTTACTACGGGCGCCACTACCACTGCTTCTCGTTCAAAGCAGACCTGGGGAAGTGGGTCATGTTCGACGATACAACCGTCAAGGTGAGATGGGGTGAAGGAGGGATGCCGATGCAAGGTGACATGCTGATAGCGTGGGTATGGCCCGGTTCGCCGTCAGTAGGGGGATGAGTAGATTCTCCCAACAGGTGGGGCATAGAATGGTTCACTGTCAGCAGCCTCTCCCTCTAAGCAGACCTGGGGACTTGGGTCATGTTTGAGTTGAGTCTTGACGATATTACAGTCAAGGCGACATGGGGTGGAGGAGGGATGAGGAGCCAAGGGTGAAGGGGATGATGGTGCACATGGTGGTGGCAGTGGTATGTACCAGAGTGTTCTCTTAGCCTCTGGTTCTAGGCCCTCATTCCTCCGCTATTCTTGTTGCGTGGTTCACGTGGTTGGCGGATGGCCATATATGGTCAGCTCATGCACCAGAGCATGTTCTGACGCACGTCAAAACTCTCGCTTTCCCCTCTTCCCCCTCTCCCCCCCTCTCCTCCTTCCCCGTCCCTTGCCCCCCCTTCCTCCATCTGCCCCTGCTCCTTCCCCGTCCCTTCCCGCCCCTCCTTCCCCGTTGCTGCCCCGCTCTCCCCTTTTGATGCGCCTGCCCATGGAATGTGCATGGCAGGTGGGTGCTTGATTGGGGGGTGGCCGGATGTGGTCAGCTCATGCACCAGAGCATGTTCCGAGGCACCTTATTACTCACTCGCTCTCGCTCCCTGTCTCCTCGACACCTCTCTTCCTCGATGCGTGTGGCAGGTGGTTGGCGGGTGGGCGGATGTGGTGAGCTCATGCACCAGAGGCCGGTTGCAGCCGCAGGTGCTCTTCTTCGAGGCGTGCTCATGATTCATGAAGCTACTATTTGGAGAAGCGTTTTTACTTGACACGTCTCAAGTGGTTGGCGGGTGGGCGGGTGTGATCAGCTCATTTCCAAAGGCCGGTTGCGACCCGCAGGTGCTGTTCTATGTCCTTTCTTCTGGCGTACCACTATGGGGCCTCGAGATACCGTACGGCCGCCGTTGTTTTTTTTTACGGGTGCTTGTGACTGGCAGGCAGCTTGGGCTACGGTACTACCATAGCGCATGCATGAGTGATTTGGGTCGCTTCTGGGGCAGCAGCATCTGGGGCAGGTGGTTTTTAGAATAAGGGAATGCTTTTATGGTAGGGCCTTTGGAATGCTCCTCACCAGCGTGTGGTACCTTAATAGTGCTTGACCGATTTGATGCACCATCAGAGTAGATATGGTAGCGTTGCTTGCCTTGGCGTGGAGGAACCACGTGTTTCATGTACTAGTGCTCTTAGCATAGTGGTACCTTACGCAGATTCTTTTATTTACCACCTAAAGTTACGCAGCACTTCTTTGATGAAGGGTGGGAACAAAGAGAAGCTTGAGCGAAAATGTATATATTGTCCCTTGTTTTGCAGTTGGAGCTTTTTGTGTAGTAAACTAGCTGTAAAAGTTAATGCTTAGGCTACAGTGAAAGACATGCGTCGTTCAAGAAGCAGCATGAGTGTTCTGTCTGTACCATTTGCCGCAGACCTGCCCTTAGCAAGACGAAACTCGCCACGGGCAGTTACACGTCGCAAAATACTGTTGCGAGTTCGTGGGAGGGTGGAGAGGAGAAAGCCCTGTCCGTGACGATTTCACTGTTCAACCATGTTGTAACTTTTGTCGCCTTGCACGACTGTTTCCACTCGTGATTGGCGGAATGAGCACGCTACATGTTCGCGACAACAAGTCGAAACGGACAGAAAGCGTCACCCTCAGTGATTTCAAACTCCAGTTGCGGCTGTGTAACGGCCTTTCCAACCTCGGCTGCAAGCAAAGTTCGGTGCAGGGTTGGTCAAAGTTGAGACATTTCATTTTCGTTCGCCGCATTTTGTAACGATTCTGACGCGGTCTCACACGAAGCGAAACATAACCGGGGTAGTCTGATTGGACAGATCTCTGTATAACCAGCCCAATTGCAACTTCAAAACTGTACGGTAACTTGCAGAAAACTAAAAACGAAGTTCGCCTAGTGCCGGCCAACCAGAGGCACCTGCCAGGATTTCGACATCACGCTTCGTCCAGACTCCAGCCAGACTCCAGCAAGACCCCATCCAAACCAGAGCCCACCCAGCCATAACCCCCCATCTAGCCGGGCCAGGCTCCTCCAGACCAGACCAGATGAGCGGAGAGATTGACTACAGCATGTATTTCCCGCCCTTTACTGTATTTCATTCGCCAGCAGCGTAACTGCAGGTCGCTGGCCAGGCCAACAGAACAGAAGCTGAACTTGCTGAACAAAACGCCATCGCCAGCCAAGTAGCAAGCAAGCCAGAATCCTGGATTCTGGAAGCTAGGGAACTGCTTTGGAACTCAAAACTTCAGGCAGGGAGGGGTTGGGGTCAGCGGCAGATGCGCTAGTTGCAAGTTACCATTCCAATTTCCAACCCCTCCCATCCACCAAACACGGTTTCTATTTCTTTTTGGTCTCGTTCCGTTCAACAAACGCTCTAACAAGGACCATGCACGAACGTTGTCAAGTCCGATAAGCGTTTCTCCTGCGTCAGTCTTTCCCAACAAATGCCGTTCTGTACCTTCGCTGACTTCCGTCACTGAATTATCCAGGCGACCACGGTTAGGCCGTCATGTTATAGGATATATCTCTCTAAAGAACGACGCGTGAAGTAGACCTCCCGTGTTAGCCGAATTCGCGTTAGGATACTTCCGCCTTATACTAGAATCGGCGATTGAGTAGATCGTCGAATCGCGGGCCGAGTCCGCCGTCTAGAGCAAGCAGTTACTAACGAGTGCGCGAGAATCAATATCGACTAGGGAAAGCACAATCAATCGCCGCAAATGACTCGGGGATTCTCGAGAATTCGGCATCGAACTCGGCACAGAAATTCACATTTTTAAAACTCTCGAAGGGTGCACGTAGTCACCGGCGCGTAGACAGCACGGCCGCTTTCGAACGGTCTCGATACAGTCCTCATCATTAAGAAAGTATACAGGGTTGGATAATACGCATCAGGCCTCGAGATTGTCGAACGCTGCTGAACGCAATGTCGGAAACGGATGAGCTCACAGCGAAGACTGGCGGGTGGGGAGGAGCACACAAGCTAGCAGTTCCCTTCGACAGCGACGAGTGGAGTAACAGGGTTACCAGCAGCTTCAACGAAATCACCCTCAGTGACGGCACCGGTGCCCGCGGCGGCGGCGGCAGAAGCGGCGCGGGAAGCGGCGTTAGAAGCGGCGCGGGAAGCGCGGCGAGCAGCCGACACAGCAGCAGCACGTTTAGCGGCAGGAGCGGCAGCATAGCGTGGAGCGACGACTTTAGCGACTGCGGACTGTACGACCCGGCTAGCTATCCCGAGACCCCTTCCTTTCACTCCGCCATTGCGTCGTTCCAAACTGAACCGCCTCTTTCCGCCGCCGCCGCCGCCACCGCCGCCGACGACGACGCCGACCTTCCAGATGGCGGTGTCTGCCGCGCCGCCGGCGATGCGGCGAGTTTTCAATGCGGCGCGTCTTCTCGGCGTGCTGGCCTGCCGCCGTCTGGCATCTGCGATCGCCACGTCAGCAGCAGCTGCGAGATCCCCGGCGCGACGGAGGAGCACCGCAACGCTGCGTGTGATAATATCGAGGGGAGCGGCCGTCGCGGCGGTGCGACGAGCTACGACACGGACGACGACGACGACGACGAGTGCGACAGTAACGAGAGCAGCGACATCGTTGGTCGCGAGGTGATCCGACGGTTCAACAGCATCGGCCACGGAATCGGCGGCGGGGGATTATCTACCAGCAGCCTGGGTAACAGAATGATGATGCGGCATGATAAACACGTGGCCATGGCTCCTCGTCCGATGGGGTCCGGAGCAGCACCCATGGGGATAATCAACGGTACGGGAAGTTATTATTACGGTGTAGGATCTGGAAGGGGAGGGAATCGGCCGGTTGCTACTGACGGGTCGGTTTCTAGCGGGGATGACGTGGGGGACGGGTGCAGCGCGCCACATCGGCGCGCTTTGAGCGTGGATTTTCACCCGCCGCCCGTGTTCATGCACTCCCCGCGCACGCCGCCATTCGGCGGGGACGGCGGAGATTGTTCCTCCCCGCTCTTCTCCCCTCATATCTCCCCGCGCATGTCGCCCGCGCACTCGCCGCATCGGCCTCCCTCCCATCCTTGGTCGACTAGCCCGAGCGAAGCTTCCCCGCGCCCTCGAGAAGCTTCCGCTTGCCTTCCGTCAGAGCAAGCGGCTACAGAGGAGGAGGCAAGGGCGCACGCGGGAGAGGCGCTAGGGTCGAGGGTAGAAGAGCAAGGCCCGCAGCCCCAGCAGCAGCAGCAGCAGCAGCAGCAGGAGCAAGCGCAAGAGAAGCAAGACTCCAGTCAAGAAACTCTGTTGTTTAAAGGTCGGCACCAGCAACATCCCCAGCAGCAGCAGCAGCTACAGCTGCAGCACAGGCGGCGGCCGCAGCTCCCACAGCAGCAGCACCTGAGGCTCGGGTCCGCCCGGTCCGGCAGCGCCGGGGCTACGGGCCAGCATCGGCGGCACCGATCCTATGCAGACCACTCCGGTTCGGACCCAGCCCGGAGGTTCGGCAGCACCGGGAGCATCGGGAGCAGCTGCCTCGGAAGCAGTAGCAACGGTGGTGGTGGTGGTGGAGGGGGGGGAGACGGCAGTGGTAACACTGTAACCGCACGTAGCACCCTCCGAAGCCGTAGCTTCGGTGGTAACCACCACAGCAGCGCCAGCTTCGGCGGCAGCTTCGGCAGCCACGGGCTAAGCCACAGCCACAGCTGCGGCGTGGCTTTAAACCTCCCCCCTAGAAGCCCTCTTAAATCCCCTGGTCAGCTTGCTATGGCTCTGAGTGTGCCTGTGGGGTTGGAGTGCGGTGCAGGGGAGTTCAGTCCGGTGACAAGGTCACCCAGACCACCGAAATCCCCGTTTTCTAATGATGCTGGGCCTTCTGTATTCTCAGCTGAGAGGGTGGCGGTTAGCGGGATTGCCGTGGCTGTTGAGTCGACTCAACGGCCGATTCCCCTGCCCTCTGCTCCCGCTTCTGCTTCTGCAGCCCCTCCCAACCCCCCTGCTCCTGTTTCTGCTTTGGCTTCGCCTGCTGCTGGTCCGGATGCTGCTGCTTCTGCTGCTACTGCCGCTGCTTCTGCTGCTGTCAATGCGGCAGCTGCCGCCGCTGCATTGCCATCGCCTCCCGATGCTGCTACAGCTGTCGATCCTCAAGCCACGCCCTCGCAGCAAGCCGCATTGCGGCTGCATGAGGATCAGATCAAGCTGCTGCAGAGGCTGCAGCAGCAGCTGCAGCAACACCGGATGCACCTGCAGCAGCAGCAGCAGCAGCAGCAGCAGGGGCAGCAAGGGCAACAAGGGCAGCAAGGGCAGCAGGGGCAGCAGCAGGAAGGGCCTGGGCAGGGGGATTTGCAACAGCAGCTAAAGGAGGCTCTGCTGCGCAGATTAGGGGAGATCCATGCGGCAACCAGTGCCACCAGTGCCATTACCAGCAATTCTGACGCCCGGGGGGCTGCTCTAAGCGCCAGTGGTGGTGGTTTTCACAGGCGCCATCTAAGCGCCAGTGTGGGAGTCACCAGCAGCGGCAGCAGCATGCTGGTTGCTCCTGCCACTGCACGGGCCTCGAGTCAATGTATCCCCGCTGCAGCTGCTGCTGCTGCTGCAGGCAACCTTCCCACTGTGTGCCACTCTGCCTACCCATCAGCAGCCGCTGCTTCAGAGGGTGCTGGGGCATTTACACTGCAAATGCAAGGCACGGGTCTAAGCTCTGCTGCTGCAGCAGCAGCAGCAGGTGCTGCTCCTGTTTCCCCAGTCCTCAACCCCCCCTCCATGCACCGTTGCGCCTCTCTAGACGCCCACTCTCAGCAGTTTTTCAAAACCCTCAGCACCTATATTAGCAGGGGGCTCACAGGGGAGATGGGGGAGGGTGCAGGGGGGCAAGAGGGTGGGGGAGAGGGGGTGGAGGAGGAGGGAGTGGTAGTGGTGATGGTGGGTGTTTTGGGCGGCAAAGTGGGGCGGCAGAGGTGGATTCGGCGAGTCTTAGCTGGCGGGATTTTATTCTGCGCATGCCGTACGATAACGTGAAGAGATTTTATTCGGTCAGCGCCGTCCGGATCGGGAGCGGGCGGTACGGGGTGATTCGGCCGTGCACGCACCGAGGGACTGGAGTGAAGATGGCAATTAAGACAATCAAGAAGGAGCAGATGAAGGTGGGACGAGGGGGGGGGGGAAGGAGGGGGAGGGGGAGGGGGGAGGGGGAGGGGGAGGGGGAGGGGGGAGGGTTAGAGGGGGGAGGGGGGAGGGGGGAGAAGGGAGGGGGGAGGGGGGAGGAAGGGGGAGGGGGGGGGTGTAAGCTGGAAGTTGTTTCTTGGGGCGACTCAAAGGACTGTGCACGCGCTGGGGGACAGGAGTGAAGATGGCGATTAGGACAATCAAGCAGGCGCAGATGAAGGTGGGACCGCAGAGGGGGGGGGGAGGGGCTGGCTGGAAGCTGTTTCTTGAGACGACAAGCACGGAAGCGACCATTCTAGGGCTGCTGCCATGCAAGGAAGGAAGCTCAATGCATGCTCTCTGCCCTCCCTCCTCTCTCCCACGCCAGTGCAAGGAGGGCGTGGAGGACGTGCGGACAGAAATGATCATTCTGGGGCTGCTGCGCCGCATTGCCCCTCAGTGCCCCTCACTGCTTGTTCTCTCCCCCCCTGCTCATCCCAACGCCCCCTCCCTCCTCTCTCCCACGCCAGTGCGTGGAGGACGTGGAGGGCGTGCGCACAGAGTTCATCATTCTGCGCCTGCTGGACACGCAAGGAGCCCCAATGCACGCTTCCGGCCCCTGCTGACCCCAATGCTCCCTGCCCCTGCTGACCCCAATGCTCCCTGCCCCTGTTGACCCCAATGCTCCCTGCCCCTGCTGACCCCAATGCTCCCTGCCCCTGCTGACCCCAACGCTCCCTGCCCCTGTTGACCCCAACGCCCCCTGCCCCTGTTGACCCCAACGCTCCCTGCCCCTGTTGACCCCAATGCTCCCTGCCCTCTTTGATGCCAGTGCAAGGAGGACGTAGAGGACGTGCGAACAGAGGTCATCATTCTGGGGCTGCTGCGCAATCACCCCTGCATCATCAACCTGCATGACGCATTTGAGGATGAGAAGGTAACTGTTACATGCACTCTTACGTTACATGCCTTGGTACATCAACCATCCGTGCATCATCAACATGCATCATCCATGCATCATCAACATGCATCATCAACATGCATCATCAACCTGCATGACGCGTTTGAGGACGAGAAGGTGTGTGTGTGGGGGGGGTTCGGGAGTGGGGTCATGCTCAAACGATGTCAGGGTGAGAGAGGAGGTGAGCGTAATCGACATGGCATGGCGTGGTGCACAATCACCCGTGCATCATCAACCTGCATGACACGTTTGTATACCCCTCTACCTTCTTTCCCCCCCTCTCTTCCCCCCTGCTAACAGTACGTGCATCTGATAATGGAGTTGTGCGAGGGAGGGGATCTCTTCGACCGAATCAAGCAGAGAGGCCAGTTCCCGGAGAGAGATGCGGCTCTCACCTCCTGTGTGCTCTCCTTCCATCCCCCCATCTGCAGCACGTGCAACTAATAGTGGAGCTATGTGAGGGAGGAGATCTCTTTGACCGCATCAAGCAACGAGGGCAGTTTCCTGAGCGGGACGTGGCCCTGGTTTGCAAAGGGTTAGCAGAGGCTCTGGTTTGCAAGGGGTTAGCAGAGGCTCTGGTGCAGTGCAGCAGCAGGCACGTGGTGCACTGCGGCGTGAAGCGGGAAAGCGTTCCTACCTCATCTCTCCCCCCTCTTCCCCCCCACTACTTCTCCCCTCCCCCCCCCTCTCCCCCCTCTCTCCCCCCCGTTCGCAGTACGTACACTTGATAATGGAGGTGTGCGAGGGAGGGGACCTGTTCGACCGAATCAAGCAGCGCGGCCAGTTTCCTGAACGGGATGCGGCTCTGGTGTGCAAAGGCTTGGCGGAGGCGCTGGTGCAGTGCAGCAGCAGAGGCGTGGTGCACCGCGACGTGAAGCCTGAGAACATTCTGCTCTGCTCCAAGGAGTGCCACACGCGGATCAAGCTGATCGACTTCGGAGTTGCTGCCCTGCACACTCCAGGTGGGTGTGCCTCTGTGTGTTTCTGTGAGTGTGTTGCGGGCGAGAGACGGGGCGAGGGGGGGGGGTGGAGAAAGAAAGAGGGGCGCTGGTGCAGTGGAGCAACAGAGGCGTGGTGCAGCACGACGTGAAGCACGAGAAAACATTCTGCTGATCGACTTTGGCGTCGCTGCCCTGCTTACGCCAGGTGTGTGTGTCTGTGTGTTTGAGAGAGAGAATGAGGGAATCTTGTGAAATGCAGCAACAGAGAGAGAGCAAGATGGGCGCTGGTCCCTTGTGCAGTGCAGCAGCAGAGGCGTGGTGCACCGCGATGTGAAGCCTGAGAACATTCTGCTGTGCTCTAAGGAGTGCCACACGCGGATCAAGCTCATCGACTTTGGCGTCGCTGCCCTGCACACGCCAGGTGTGTGTCTCTGTGGGCCGGGGAGGGGGGAGGAGGGGGGGGGGGGGTGGAGGGAAGGTGAGTGAGTCAGACTCACTCACTGCCATGCACGCTCCTGGTGATGGAGAAACGGGAGCATGGCTTGAGGCGCCTACAGGCAGGCACACACCAGGTGAGCGACAGTGTTGGTCCATAGTTGGGGCTGGACAACCTTCTGTGCAGCTTTCTTTAACCTCCTGTCTTCCTCCCACATGCCCAACCCTCTCCAGGTACCTTAGAACCCAACAGGGCTGCTGGACAGGACAGGGCCTTTGGCGGCCACAGAGCGGACATATGGAGCGCTGGTATATAGAAGTCTGCATTCCACATGATCCTTCCAGCTTTCCTTCCTTCCTCCCATCTACCCTACCCACTCTCCAGGCACCCTGAGAACAGTCAGAGCGGGAACAGAGGAGTACACTGCACCAGAGGTCCTAGACAGAGCCTACGGACCAGCGGCAGATGTGCGGAGCGCAATTTCGCGATTTCCTTCCCTCCTCTCATGCTGCCCACCCACTCCCCTTCAGGCATCCTGCACACCAACAGAGCTGGAACAGTAGAGTACACTGCACCTGAGGAGTTGGACCGAGCCTATGGTCCCGCGGCAGACATATGGAGTGCGGGAGTGGTGCTGTATATTTTGCTCTGCTTCATCTCCAATCCACCCAATCCCCCTCCTCCCTCCCATCTGCCCCAGCCCACCCACTCTCCAGAGCCAGCACCGTGGAGTGCACTGCTCCCGAGGTCCTAGACAGAGCCTACGGCCCTGAGGCAGACATGTGGAGCACAATCTTACGATTCCCTTGTGTCCGCTCACACCGCCCACTCCCCTCCAGGCACCCTACGGACCGACAGAGCGGGAACAGTGGAGTACACTGCACCCGAGGTGTTGGACCGAGCCTACGGTCCCGAGGCAGACATCTGGAGCGCTGGGGTAGTGCTGTACATTCTGCTCTGCGGCTTCCCGCCGTTTTGGGCGGCGACTGACGCTGACCTGGAGAGGAAGATCCGGGTGGCGAGCGTGGATTTCCGTCACCCGAGGTGGGCGGCGGTGTCGGGCGGCGCGAAAGATTTGATTCTGAGGATGCTGGAGAAGGATCCGAGGAAGAGAATATCTGCCCTGGAGATCTTTGGTGAGTAGCAGAAGTGTACCCCCATCCATCTCTTTTTCTTTTACACCAACCAGATGTTTTTTTCTAAGTTCACTTCATTCGTAACGTGTGGGTACGCCATCTCCGATTGAGGTTTGATTCCTTCATAAATTGTCCCTCCCCCCCTCTCACGTACTGCTCTCCTGTATACTATTTTTATGCCCCTCAATACCCCGGTGTGTTTCCCCCACTTCCTCTCTCGTCTACTGTTTTGGAGCTCCTTGAAGCATGGTGTGCTCTCCCCCCTTCCTCATCTCCCCTATTCTTCCCTCACTTTCAACCTCCCCATCCTCCCACTCTGTTCCCCACCTCACCTCCCCTCTCCCCCCCAATCAGCCCATCCCTGGATCAGAGAAGCCGAAAGCAGCTGAACCCCACCACTGCCAACTGACTGATCACCTGACCATGTTCATTCGGTTGTAAAACCACCTGAGGGGCGCCACCTGTTGTGAAAATACCTGACAAAATGTAGCCAGGCTAACGCCGCCTGACTACTAAATGGCACCTGGCTCGATGCCATGTTTGATTTGATCAGAATCCATCTTTTTGTGGTCCCTTTTGGATGACCATTTCCTCACCAAAGTATAATGTGCTCCGAGATATGGCTCAATAAAGCATTGAGAGATGTGACATAAAACTTTGACATTTTACTTGTCATTGAATTCATGCTAGTGTACACAAGTGTGTACAAGCCTTCTCAACTCGCAATCTGTTGTCCATACGCCATCCAATATCGAGGAACTACCATTCATCCGTGTCGTGTCTTCAATCTGTCATTTCAAACGTCACTCTCCAAGTGACGTCACTATTTCTAGGCTCACCCTCCTAAAACCTATTCCTGGCCAGCACTCTCTAGTAGTAAAACTCCCTGGTATTCGACTTTCAGCGCTTCGTTGCAGAATTCGATGCATGTATGCGTATGTCACGGGATAGCAAAATGATGGTCACGCTGCTGGATTTATAGCAGCCATACAGGCATTGCATTCCTAAAACCATCCCCTGACCTCGCAAACAGCAGTCCTGAACCCATCCCCTGCCGTGGTGTCCCTTTTTTTTTGCGATCACCGTCGTCGAAGTCCCCTCCTGGAACTTAGAGGATGCACACCTTCCTGAGTCCTGACATGATTCTCCTCGTCGCTTAGAGGTTCATAACCTTCCTGACACCATTAGTTGACTCTAGAACCGTCATTTGACTCTACGAACCATTAGCTAACTCTAGAACCAAGTTCACTCTAGAACCATAAGTCGACTCTAGATTCTAGAACGAATAGTTGACTCTACGAACCCTCTGCGTGTCGCGTCGCCTAGAGGTTGATCCCCCTAGACTATTTCGTCTACTAAGAAGCATTTCGAGCCATGACGATGCGCTTCGCTATCTGGCAGGTAAGCGTCTCGCGACATTAAAGGAAAGCTCTTTCCTTTTCTCCCCCCATTTCTACAGCTCGACCGTCAGTTGTCTCTAGCCATTCCGATAGTTCTGACGGTTCACGACAATGCTGCCAGCACGTGCCGGCATGGACCGTCATTGAAATCTGTTATTCCCCTCCACCCCATTCCCCGCCCTCCCTCCCCCCCTCCCCCCCTCCTCCTTCCCCTCCCCTCCGTACAATCACAGCTCGTCCGTCAACTCTCGTTAGCGGTACCAGTTGTCTTAACCGTTCATGACAACATTGCCAGCATGTGCGGTGTGGACGGCCACTCCATGTCGCCCACCTTCAACCCGTTGCGCGACAAATCCGGCCTGCTGTTCCGCGCCGCCCTGAGCGATCGCGTGCTCCTGGACAGGCTGTCAGCGCGCTACATGCAGTACCAGCGCGGGGACGTGGTCGTTCTTAGGTGAGTGGGGGAAAGGGGGAGAATGAGCGGGGGAGTGGGGGTCTCCTGGACAGGCTGTCAGCGCGCTACATGCAGTACCAGCGCGGGGATGTCGTTGTGCTCAGGTGGGTGGGTGGGTGGGGGGTGCAAGGGGTTGGGGAAGGGGAGAGGGAAAGGGAGGGCAGGTCCTTCCGGGACAGGCTGTCAGCACGCTACATGCAGTACCAACGAGGGGACGTGGTTGTGCTCAGGTGGGTGGGTGGGTGGGTGGGGGTGCAAGGGGTTGGGGAGGGGAGGGGAAAGGGAGGGTAGGTCCTTCCTGGACAGGCTGTCAGCACGCTACATGCAGTACCAACGAGGGGACGTGGTTGTGCTCAGGTGGTGGGTGGGTGGGTGGGGGTGCAGGGGTTGGGGAGGGGAGGGGGAAAGGGAGGGTAGGTCCTTCCTGGACAGGCTGTCAGCACGTACATGCAGTACCAACGAGGGGACGTGGTTGTGCTCAGGTGGGTGGGTGGGTGGGTGGGGGTGCAAGGGTTGGGGAGGGGGAGGGGAAAGGGAGGGTAGGTCCTTCCTGGACAGGCTGTCAGCACGCTACATGCAGTACCAACGACGGGGGACGTGGGTTGGTTGCAGGGTGTGGCTCAGGTCAGGGGGTGGGTGGGTGGGTGGGTGGGGGTGCAAGGGGTTGGGGAGGGGGAGGGGGAAAGGGAGGGTAGGTCCTTCCTGGACAGGCTGTCAGCACGTTACATGCAGTACCAAACGAGGGGACGTGGTTGTGCTCAGGTGGGTGGGTGGGTGGGTGGGGGTGCAAGGGGTTGGGGAGGGGGAGGGGGAAAGGGAGGGTAGGTCCTTCCTGGACAGGCTGTCAGCACGTTACATGCAGTACCAACGAGGGGACGTGGTTGTGCTCAGGTGGGTGGGTGGGTGGGTGGGGGTGCAAGGGGTTGGGGAGGGGGAGGGGGAAAGGGAGGGTAGGTCCTTCCTGGACAGGCTGTCAGCACGTTACATGCAGTACCAACGAGGGGACGTGGTTGTGCTCAGGTGGGTGGGTGGGTGGGTGGGGGTGCAAGGGGTTGGGGAGGGGGAGGGGGAAAGGGAGGGTAGGTCCTTCCTGGACAGGCTGTCAGCACGTTACATGCAGTACCAACGAGGGGACGTGGTTGTGCTCAGGTGGGTGGGTGGGTGGGTGGGGGTGCAAGGGGTTGGGGAGGGGAGGGGGAAAGGGAGGGTAGGTCCTTCCTGGACAGGCTGTCAGCACGTTACATGCAGTACCAACGAGGGGACGTGGTTGTGCTCAGGTGGGTGGGTGGGTGGGTGGGGTGCAAGGGGTTGGGAGGGGGAGGGGGAAAGGGAGGGTAGGTCCTTCCTGGACAGGCTGTCAGCACGTTACATGCAGTACCAACGAGGGGACGTGGTTGTGCTCAGGTGGGTGGGTGGGTGGGTGGGGGTGCAAGGGGTTGGGGAGGGGGAGGGGGAAAGGGAGGGTAGGTCCTTCCTGGACAGGCTGTCAGCACGTTACATGCAGTACCAACGAGGGGACGTGGTTGTGCTCAGGTGGGTGGGTGGGTGGGTGGGGGTGCAAGGGGTTGGGGAGGGGGAGGGGAAAGGGAGGGTAGGTCCTTCCTGGACAGGCTGTCAGCACGTTACATGCAGTACCAACGAGGGGACGTGGTTGTGCTCAGGTGGGTGGGTGGGTGGGTGGGGTGCAAGGGGTTGGGGAGGGGGAGGGGGAAAGGGAGGGTAGGTCCTTCCTGGACAGGCTGTCAGCACGTTACATGCAGTACCAACGAGGGGACGTGGTTGTGCTCAGGTGGGTGGGTGGGTGGGTGGGGGTGCAAGGGGTTGGGGAGGGGGAGGGGGAAAGGGAGGGTAGGTCCTTCCTGGACAGGCTGTCAGCACGTTACATGCAGTACCAACGAGGGGACGTGGTTGTGCTCAGGTGGGTGGGTGGGTGGGTGGGGGTGCAAGGGTTGGGAGGGGGAGGGGAAAGGGAGGGTAGGTCCTTCCTGGACAGGCTGTCAGCACGTTACATGCAGTACCAACGAGGGACGTGGTTGTGCTCAGGTGGGTGGGTGGGTGGGTGGGGGTGCAAGGGTTGGGAGGGGAGGGGGAAAGGGAGGGTAGGTCCTTCCTGGACAGGCTGTCAGCACGTTACATGCAGTACCAACGAGGGGACGTGGTTGTGCTCAGGTGGGGGGTGGGGGGGGGGTGCAAGGGGTTGGGAGGGGAGGGGGAAAGGGAGGGTAGGTCCTTCCTGGACAGGCTGTCAGCACGTTACATGCAGTACCAACGAGGGGACGTGGTTGTGCTCAGGTGGGTGGGTGGGTGGGGGTGCAAGGGGTTGGGGAGGGGAGGGGGAAAGGGAGGGTAGGTCCTTCCTGGACAGGCTGTCAGCACGTTACATGCAGTACCAACGAGGGGACGTGGTTGTGCTCAGGTGGGTGGGTGGGTGGGTGGGGGTGCAAGGGGTTGGGGAGGGGGAGGGGGAAAGGGAGGGTAGGTCCTTCCTGGACAGGCTGTCAGCACGTTACATGCAGTACCAACGAGGGGACGTGGTTGTGCTCAGGTGGGTGGGTGGGTGGGTGGGGGTGCAAGGGGTTGGGGAGGGGGAGGGGGAAAGGGAGGGTAGGTCCTTCCTGGACAGGCTGTCAGCACGTTACATGCAGTACCAACGAGGGACGTGGTTGTGCTCAGTGGGTGGGTGGGTGGGTGGGGTGCAAGGGGTTGGGGAGGGGGAGGGGAAAGGGAGGGTAGGTCCTTCCTGGACAGGCTGTCAGCACGTTACATGCAGTACCAACGAGGGGACGTGGTTGTGCTCAGGTGGGTGGGTGGGTGGGTGGGGGTGCAAGGGGTTGGGGAGGGGGAGGGGGAAAGGGAGGGTAGGTCCTTCCTGGACAGGCTGTCAGCACGTTACATGCAGTACCAACGAGGGGACGTGGTTGTGCTCAGGTGGGTGGGTGGGTGGGTGGGGGTGCAAGGGGTTGGGGAGGGGGAGGGGGAAAGGGAGGGTAGGTCCTTCCTGGACAGGCTGTCAGCACGTTACATGCAGTACCAACGAGGGGACGTGGTTGTGCTCAGGTGGGTGGGTGGGTGGGTGGGGTGCAAGGGGTTGGGGAGGGGGAGGGGGAAAGGGAGGGTAGGTCCTTCCTGGACAGGCTGTCAGCACGTTACATGCAGTACCAACGAGGGGACGTGGTTGTGCTCAGGTGGGTGGGTGGGTGGGTGGGGGTGCAAGGGGTTGGGGAGGGGAGGGGAAAGGGAGGGTAGGTCCTTCCTGGACAGGCTGTCAGCACGTTACATGCAGTACCAACGAGGGGACGTGGTTGTGCTCAGGTGGGTGGGTGGGTGGGTGGGGTGCAAGGGGTTGGGGAGGGGGAGGGGGAAAGGGAGGGTAGGTCCTTCCTGGACAGGCTGTCAGCACGTTACATGCAGTACCAACGAGGGGACGTGGTTTGTGCTCAGGTGGGTGGGTGGGTGGGTGGGGGTGCAAGGGGTTGGGGAGGGGGAGGGGGAAAGGGAGGGTAGGTCCTTCCTGGACAGGCTGTCAGCACGTTACATGCAGTACCAACGAGGGGACGTGGTTGTGCTCAGGTGGGTGGGTGGGTGGGTGGGGGTGCAAGGGGTTGGGGAGGGGGAGGGGGAAAGGGAGGGTAGGTCCTTCCTGGACAGGCTGTCAGCACGTTACATGCAGTACCAACGAGGGGGACGTGGTTGTGCTCAGGTGGGTGGGTGGGTGGGTGGGGTGCAAGGGGTTGGGGAGGGGGAGGGGGAAAGGGAGGGTAGGTCCTTCCTGGACAGGCTGTCAGCACGTTACATGCAGTACCAACGAGGGGACGTGGTTGTGCTCAGGTGGGTGGGTGGGTGGGTGGGGGTGCAAGGGGTTGGGGAGGGGGAGGGGGAAAGGGAGGGTAGGTCCTTCCTGGACAGGCTGTCAGCACGTTACATGCAGTACCAACGAGGGGACGTGGTTGTGCTCAGGTGGGTGGGTGGGTGGGTGGGGGTGCAAGGGGTTGGGGAGGGGGAGGGGGAAAGGGAGGGTAGGTCCTTCCTGGACAGGCTGTCAGCACGTTACATGCAGTACCAACGAGGGGACGTGGTTGTGCTCAGGTGGGTGGGTGGGTGGGTGGGGTGCAAGGGGTTGGGGAGGGGGAGGGGAAAGGGAGGGTAGGTCCTTCCTGGACAGGCTGTCAGCACGTTACATGCAGTACCAACGAGGGGACGTGGTTGTGCTCAGGTGGGTGGGTGGGTGGGTGGGGGTGCAAGGGGTTGGGGAGGGGGAGGGGGAAAGGGAGGGTAGGTCCTTCCTGGACAGGCTGTCAGCACGTTACATGCAGTACCAACGAGGGGACGTGGTTGTGCTCAGGTGGGTGGGTGGGTGGGTGGGGGTGCAAGGGGTTGGGGAGGGGGAGGGGGAAAGGGAGGGTAGGTCCTTCCTGGACAGGCTGTCAGCACGTTACATGCAGTACCAACGAGGGGACGTGGTTGTGCTCAGGTGGGTGGGTGGGTGGGTGGGGGTGCAAGGGGTTGGGGAGGGGGAGGGGGAAAGGGAGGGTAGGTCCTTCCTGGACAGGCTGTCAGCACGTTACATGCAGTACCAACGAGGGGACGTGGTTGTGCTCAGGTGGGTGGGTGGTGGGTGGGGGTGCAAGGGTTGGGGAGGGGGAGGGGGAAAGGGAGGGTAGGTCCTCCTGGACAGGCTGTCAGCACGTTACATGCAGTACCAACGAGGGGACGTGGTTGTGCTCAGGTGGGTGGGTGGGTGGGTGGGGGTGCAAGGGGTTGGGGAGGGGGAGGGGGAAAGGGAGGGTAGGTCCTTCCTGGACAGGCTGTCAGCACGTTACATGCAGTACCAACGAGGGGACGTGGTTGTGCTCAGGTGGGTGGGTGGGTGGGTGGGGGTGCAAGGGGTTGGGGAGGGGGAGGGGGAAAGGGAGGGTAGGTCCTTCCTGGACAGGCTGTCAGCACGTTACATGCAGTACCAACGAGGGGACGTGGTTGTGCTCAGGTGGGTGGGTGGGTGG